TACTTTCACAACAGTGAATCAAACATTTTTTCCATCATAACCGGTTCTAAGCATTTCTGGAGCAAATATCTACAGGTGATGTGCTATCTCATCAATGTTTTTGCTTTCCAGTCAAGGGAGGATTTACAAATATCAGGATTTCAACATTCATTTAGTTACAGGCGATGTCGGTCGTCAAGTGGGACTGCTGTTAGAATGGTCAACTAGCATAAAGTAATAGACGATACCTATGGCAAATGATCTCGCCTTCAGGACTTCATTATACTGTCAGTACGCCTACGTTTGTCAGACTGCATGGGGGGTGGGCACTAGGTGACCAACAAAGTCAAGAGTTGAGGAGAGGGGGAGTGGGTGAAGACGAGACCTTGCGATCGAGAGATGTCATGGTTGCCGGACCGGCGTGTTAGAGACTGTCGGGTAGGATATCTGACACCCACCCGTCCACCCCCGGGATTAAATTAGGCTGAAGAAGACGCTGTGATGTACAGTCGACGGTGGAGTGTTTCTTGTGAAACAGCACAGTTCTGTCCACCAGCCACGTGATCGACCTGTGATTTTCCGTGAACCATCATTGTGGCAGTTTTGTGTGAGTTTCAAATGTACTCGACCGATAACCCCACCTGCGAATGCTGATTGGTATTACTCATCTTACGGTCAGCGATGACGTGGATGTGTTTTTGGCCGCGGTTAGCAAGGAGACCAGATGAGACGCTATTGTTGGACGACATGTTGGCCATCAAAATCTTCCATTTGACGGCATATGCAATGACCTTCGTCGATGTTTCAAGATTTTCGATAAATTCTATTGGGGTATCCCAATTTTTGGAGATTCCCTTGCGCTGGGAAACCTATCGATTCCAGCTGCTGTTGAGGAAAAGGGGACTTCAGAACATTTAGTAGATTTCTCGGTCACATGATAATCAAGCAAATACTGGCCAACCCTATTGTTCAATAAGCCTATCGGCAAGTCAATCGGGCATCATCATCATCATCATCATCATCATCATCATCATCATCATCATCATCATCATCATCATCATCATCATCATCATCATCATCATCATCATCATCATCATCATCATCATCATCATCATCATCATCATCATCATCATCATCATCATCATCATCACCACCACCACCACCACCACCACCATCATCATCATCATCACTACTACTACTACTACTACTACTACTACTACTACTACTACTACTACTACTACTACTACTACTACTACTACTACTACTACCATTACTACCGTCATTATCATCGCGCACCGTATGCTGAAGAACCTTGCTCAT